AACTTGTCCACTAGAAAGTCAGGCATCAGCTGCAACACCTGAAACTTGGTGTCCTTGTTGCCCTCCAAGTAGGACTCGGCCCCATAATCGGTGAGGGCATTCTAGTAATTGATCGTCATCTTCCAAATTTCAATGGAATCTTTGGCCTTCTCAGCCTCCACCACCTATGCCCGAGCTACTGCCAGGGCCTCGTCCAACTGGACACGCTTCAGCTCGGACTACTTCAGCATGTCGTTAGTCTTCTTCAAGGCCTCCTTCAACTCTGTAGTGAGAGACTTCTCCCCCTTAAGGTCCTCCTCTAGCACCTTCTTCATCTCCTTCTCCTCCCGCATGGCCGACGCAGTGGACTCTTGGCCGCTCTTGGCCTCAGTGACCCACACTTCGAGTCGTTCCCTTTTCTACTCAGAGTTCTTCAAGTGTTGATGAAGAACTTCAACCCTGTCACCTAGGCCGACGAAGTACCGGCATGCCTGCAACAAGAACACCGTCAGTAACTTAGAGAAAAAAAGAAAAAGTTTCACTAAAACAACAAGACAAGAATGCAGCATACCTCGGCCAAGTAATCTAGAGCGCAGTCATAGAGGTCTGGTAGGAATGTTCGCCGTGTCACCAATTGCCCCTTACCCTACGGCTCAGGTGAAGGGTGAGCACCCAAAGGACGAGAACCCCTAGTGGCCCCCTCAGCTTGCCACCGCCTCTATTTCCTCCTTTGCTGCCGCCCTCAGCTGGGCAGTCCTTATGTGCCAGCCTCTTCCCCACGAGGGGTTGAGGCAAGTCAGCTGGCCTCTTCTGGCCATATTCTCGGCATTGGTCCCCCTCGGCCGGCCTTTTCCTTCGATCAGCCCTAGCATTGGTAAGCACTGGCGGCCGAGGCGTCCTCTCGGTTGGCATCATCTCCCAAGGTGCTTGTCTTTGCRATGGGCCCTCGCCTGGTGTCCTCTTTTAGGACTTTGCCTTCTCCAACACGATTTGCTTGGYGTCGATAGGCATCTCTACAAAAAAAAGAAAAAAAAAAAGCAAACATATCAGTACTTATGTGAAAGAAAAGGAAAGTTGACGTGTTAAAGATGACAGTAAGAGTTCTCATACCAAGGCAAGTGGGGCTGAGACCAGCCAACACCAAAGGTAACTCCTCCTCCACTAAGGTCTTGGCCCAGATCACCCCTGACACTCGGATGCGGGTAATCACCTTGACTTGATCGTCCTGAAGATAAGGGATGGGTTTCTCGACAGTCAAGTTCAGCTCCCCCCAACCTGACCTGAACGACCAACCTTGAGGACAAGAAACAAAGAAGAACTTATTCTTCCAATTGTGYACRAACGTGGGGTTGTCAACAGCTYAGCCGCAGTGAGCCTGTAAATAGTATATGCCCACCTCTTGAGGGTGCGGCCTCGGCATGAGCATGCCTCGGAAGATCTTCTGGGTTAGCTTTACGTCTTAGAGCCGATCCATCACCAGCATCGCTATAATGGTCCTAAGGGTGTTGGGGGCTAATTGGCTGATTGAGATGCCATACCACCTCAACAACTTGGAGATGAGGGAAGGAAGAGGGAACCTAAGGCCAAACTCTAAGTAGTGCTGGTAGACACAGATTTCACCCTCCTCCAATGTCTACGGCCGATCACTGGTGTTAGGGACCCTAAGCCTACAAGTCTGAGGAATGTAGTACTTCTTGGCAAGGGCCTTCACTTGCTCAAGGTCAAGGATACTATCCAGCTCGGAGCGGGGAAGATGTCCCACCATCACCCCTCGAGTCGCATACTTGGCCACCATCCTCGAACTAAGCTCAGAAATTTCCTCGCCCTCAAACACCTCGGAAGACCCCAAGGACCCCTCGACTTCCCTTGGCCTCGTAGACCCAACGCTTTCATGGGGAGAGTCATTGCCCCTTTAGCTGCACTCGGTGCCTACAGGGGCAGTCCTCTCCCTCAACACCTCGATCTCAAGCCTCGGAGAAGGGACTTTAGGCTCACTCGAGTGGCCTCCGCTACTGCTAGCAAGCGATGGGGTTTGGAAGGAGCTCACTCCCGAAGGATCAGGGAGGTCATAGAACTCAAGGCCGAAGTTTGAATAAGACATCGCTAYAGTTGAAGTTCTTTACCTAAGAAGACGAAGTCTAAAAAAGGAAAGCGGAAAGGAAGGCCAAGGTCTCTGAAGTCTAAAGCTCTTGAAAGCAAATGGCAAAGGCGAACTCAACTAAGTCCCCTATTTAAAGAAAAATGGATGGCCCAGATCACCTCCAATCTAGCGGCCATGGAGCAACTGCCTCTATGGCCCAATCCGGCGATCGACACA